CGCCTTTGCCTGCCGAAGCGGACACGCTGAACGCCATGATATTGTCTTATCAGGCGGAATTGAAGGACATCGATTCAGAAGAATCAAACCTAATCAGACTGTCTACAGAAATGAGGGATAAAATAGCTCTTCTTGATCAGAAGGTAGAGCTATCACGGGAGGAACGCATACGAATATCCGAGGCAATCGATCAAAGACAGCGACTTCTCAGTCCCATCCGCCGGCTTCCCACTGAAATTCTTTCGCACATATTTCTCCAGACTATCGAATTCCCAATTAAAGCTTCCCGGACAGGTACTACGAGTACGTGGTGGGAATTCCGAAGCGCCCGCAGCGCTCCTTGGTTGATTGCACTGGTATCCAGACGCTGGAGAGAGGTGGCATTAGACTTTCCGCAACTTTGGTCCTACGTGAATATTTTAATCACGGATAAGACCTTCACAGAAGGCACCTATGGATTCGCCCAACGGATTGGCGAGCACATGCTTCGCTCCGGGAAGCACAAGTTATCGGTCTGCATTGCCAACGATCCGGATAACTCAACGTTCGAGAAACTGCCATTGCCTTTGGCCACAATACTTTGCTCAATTGCAAACCGGATACGCGACCTCCGTCTCTTCCTTCATCCTCAATATTTGTCGATCTACCCTATCTACGATTATCTTTACCCCAACTCGAAAGACTCTCCCTTCTTTGCACAGACATCGCAATTTTGAACCAAACGAATTTACGGATTTTCGACTTCTGCCCGAAACTCTATTACATAAGAGTTATGGATATAGCTGCGGTCTCAGAGGTGTTAGATCTCCCTTGGGTTCAAATTACCCAGTTTAAAAGCAAACATACACATTCCAAAGATACCCAGCCTGGCCCGACATTCGATGAGGTGCTCGGCTTTCTTGCAGCAGCCATTAATCTAGAGGAATGCTCCATTCAGTGCGAAAACAGGGGAGATGACTTGTTACACGCTCCAGTTATGTGTCCAAGGCTCCACACTCTCAAACTTTCGGGGATACACCACCGCTGGCGGTACGATTCCGTTGCCTTACTCTTGGATAAGATTATACTACCGTCCCTAACAACCTTATTGGTATCGGGAAAAGTAGGGCACGAGGATCGTGAACCAGCAAGGACGTTCAGTGCCATTGGGGACATGATATCCCGGTCGAAATGCAGCCTCAAGGTGCTCCATTATGACCATGGCAGTCTTCTTCCAGAGCATTTCATTAGTTTCCTTCGAAGCACACCCACCTTGGAAGATTTTCATCTAACCGGCGGTGCACTCGACGCAGATACCGTTACCGAACAGAACCTCACGGAGCTGACGGTGAAGCTCGACGGAGCGAAACCACTCGTCCCAAATCTTCACACTCTGTTCCTTGACGGCACCATAGCATTTCCCATGAAGGCGTTCGCTGAAATGGTAGAGTCACGATGGACCTTGGCGGACGTTTTGTCTCCTCCCTTTCGCCAGCTACGGAACGTTAGCATCTGTACGTCTGTCCGAGCGGATGAGATGGAAGAAGAAAATGGGAAGACCTTAACAGACGTTGCTGCTCTTTCCACGCTAGATGCTTACAAGGCGCAGGGTTTGGTGGTGACAATGCGCAGTCGACAGACTTAATTCGGCAGAGCCCCGGTGTTCCTTCTTGGGATCTTGACCGGTTATCTACCTTAAATAATGCAAAAGACCAAAGGTGTATTCTAATCAATACATCTTCGGAATGTGCTATCTGTAAATCATCAGTATCGAGCAATTTGTGCTTGTGGCATACAAATACTGACCTGAACCAAGCCTGGGGCTGCCTCTTGTATTTCGGATGCGTGCCAGAGCTTACATCTAAGGTCATCGTGGATCTCCTGGCACAGTTTTCATTAATCTGTTGCTTAACGCTGGAGGATTCCTTCCAACCGTGTTATTACAAGGCATTGCATAATGTGACGGAGCCGCCCTCCCCAAATCGACTCAGTTTTACCGACTTCGAGCCGCGCGGCGTGTTTGGACAGAAAAAATTTACTGTGTACTAACTCCTTCTCACTTTCTCACTCCTTCGGTTCAGGTAGGACAACTCATAAGGAACAAAAACATAATTTGTATAGATGATTGAAGCAAAGCCACGGTGAGCAACAAGCTATACGACCTTCTCCGTAGTGGTTGACTTTCATCGGCACAGTAAACATGGAGCCCGCGGTCCTCCTAGTACCGGTGGTTCCCAGGGAAAGGTCGCACTTCAAACTTCCACGGAAGTCACACGTCGAAAGTCCACGAAGATCAGACTGAATCTTAAACCAAAATATGGACAGAAAGATGTTTGGAACACTGGAAGCGGAATTCGGGAATTAGTGCAAAACTGGTTTGACGGTATCATCCAAAAGCACAACGTCACTGCGGATGCTATAGTAGTGGAAGAGGAGACGGCTTGTATCAAGACACGCAGCAAGAAAACCAAAAACACTGTTGGCCTGCCTGATCAAGTTCCCGAGCAGTCAGGCTCAAGTCCTGGCGCCATCGCCAAGCCTCCACAGCCCATAAAACTCGTTTTCTCTGCTTTCATCAGAGGAAGAAAACCGAGGAGCTGCGTAGCTCAGGTTATATTCACAGATCATGCGGATCCGTCACTTAGGCCCACCCTCGAGTTGATCAACATCGACGTGACTTTAGAACGAAAGGTCCTTCTGATGGGCCAAACGTCCAAGGTACCAGGTGGTGACACTATTGGAGGACATGGGGAAGGAATGAAGCTGGGTAAGCATTGTACTTTCTTCAATGTAGATGACACCGCCGAAAACTGACTTCATGCAGGAATGCTGGCTCTGATGCGCGACGGCCATGACATTATCTACCACACCAACTCCGAACGTTGGAATTTCAAGAATGAATACGATGAAGCTATGAAGACAGATGGCCTTGTTGCTATCTGCGCAAATGCTCGTTCAACAAAGAAAGGTTATGTTCATAACTGTGACAAGGACACTCACGTCCTTGTCGAAGGACCTTCGCTCACTGACATTAATATCGAACGTTTCCTTTTCCTGCGCCCTCCTCTCGAATCCTCTATTCTCCAACCAAAAGATCCTTTGACCCGACGCATCTCAGGACGTGTCTGTACCAGCGAAAGCTTCCATGGACTACTATATATCAAGGGTCTTTTTGTGAAGAAGTACATCGGCAAAGGCACCCGCAACCATCTATACTATGGATACAACATTACAGGTTACCTACGCCTAAATCGGGACCGGGATCTCCCAGAGAGCAACGACTTATCTGAGAAAATCTCCTGGCTTTGGGGGGCCATCTTGCTTGACGAATACGACAGTGTTTACGCTGGGAAAACTCCTATACCTTCTCCGTCTAATTCACCCTCGAATCGATACCTGACACTGTTCGAAAAAGATGAAACATGCATCGACGTTGCAGATGTCGAATGCCACTTTGGGCCCGGGAAATACAAGGGGGACAAGATAGCCAAAATTCTGCTGTTCACTTATCTTTTACGACAACGTACAGCGAACCCAGGCAAGAAGGTATGGCTGTATGGCAAGAACATCGGCGATAGTGAACATCAATGCCAAGTCATCCGTAACATGCAACTGGAGCCTGTATCACTGCCAGACCCTTTATTCCGGCTCTTCGAGGGGCATCGACTCATTCGGACGATTTATGCTGAAAGGCAACGGATTTTCAAGCTCCGCGCAGACACTACGGCTTTTGCGTCACCCCTAACATTTCCCCATCACGTCCGACACCTGCTCGACGTACTCCGAGCCTCTCACCCATCTACTCAGAAGTTTACTTACATCTGGAAAGATGGCAAGGATATTGACATAGACATCCTCCCTCTGGAAAACACTATATGTCTCAACGACAGGAATCTTTCCGCTGAGTTCATTCATAAAGAGGGCGGTTCACTATGTGCGTCATATGCATCCAGGTCGGAGCATGATGACCCTACCACGTTCATCTGTGATTGTTCGGTTTTCGATCTCGCCTCTCAAATTGCAGACCACGCAATGCATGGTTTACCGCTTGACGAAAAACGCCGGGCCATGGCTCTCAATCGCAGCCTTGCAGCACTCTATCCACACTCTTTGAAAATAAAACATTATTCCCGACGTTCCAGCTCTTATGAAAGGCAAGAGTTGACTTGGACAGGCTTAGACCCTTTGGGTTTCACCGTCCTGATCATGCCAGGACGCGGCTCATTAAATTACAAACTGAAATTGCCTTCGGATAATCACGAATCTGAAGCTCAGCGAGTAGAGCATCCAGGTCAGTTTTCTGGACCCTCTATACTGTAAGACCTGCTGACCATAACGCTAGGGGATACAGTGGCTCCTAAGCTTAACTATATAACAACAGGAACCTCTATGGCAACACTAACGAACTATCATCCCGGCCGGGTCTATACCATTCAAGTTCGTGCCAATAGCGATCGCCTCCCTGTCTCTTACTCTCAGCCGTTTCATTATGAATGCCCGCTTGATTCCGTGGACGCATTGAAAGCCGAGATTCGAGCTGGCACTCTTTTCGTTTCATGCTGCCCCGTTCCCGGGGCCTGCAAGTATGAGATCACGACAATATTCTGTGACGAGTCGAAAGTCACCGACATCAGTGATTGCACGCAATGGTCCAAACAAATTTTCTCCAGTGGCTCGCCGATTCGTGTCAAGGTTTTCGCCATTAGTGCAGAGGGGGTGCGCAGTTATAAGCCGGTGACCGTTAATGTCATTCCTGAGCCAGCCGCTGCTTCTGCGTCCTCTGAGATCCCCGTGGATCGATTGACAGCATCGTTGGAGGAAGGGGACTCGTTTCAAGAAAGTTCTACGAGCCAGAAGGACAGGGATCGACATGGATCACCTATTCCTGATGAGGATATAGAATATGAATTCAAGATGGAGGATGAGAGCGAGGATTATGATGATAATGACACAGACGATGAAAACTGGGTTGAACATGTCATAGGTCGCTCCCCAACACCCCAAGTTGAAGTAGTGAGTGTTTATTATGTCAGTCTCCTTTTTTTCCCTCTCATGGGCGATCTGTACTAGCAAATGAAGCATAAACATGATCAGACGACGGTTTGCGGGTTTGAGATTCGTCAACATGATGTTCTCGAAGTCGAACTTGAAACCTCAAAATCTCGCCGTCGCTTCGTGCACTTCCTCGTTTATGTCGAAATGATTTCCGAAATACGAAGTACGAAATCAGACCCAAAGATCACTCTGGAAGTCGTAAAGTACCTGAGTGTACATGATTTTCTCGATCCCGCTCTTGGCAAAAATCCTCAAAATTACCGTCATATAGATAGTATATCTGAAGAGGGTCGAGGATTTCTTCTTGTGCCAGACGAAGTAGATACCGACATGGCCGAAATCTCTGTCGGGGATATCAAGAACGTTATTACACGTCATGGTCAGCTTTCAAGGGCCCCGCATCTGGTCTCAGGATTACCGATAGCAGGCTTTTGGTGTCGATGGGTCCTTCAAGTAGATCAACATGTGCGAGAGCACATTTATCCTCTAAGAAATACGAACAAGGCTGCACACCCTCCAAAGCCCACTTGCCCTCCTTCACTAGCAACCGGTGATTTCTTTTGTGGTGCTGGTGGATTTTCCGAAGGTTTCAACAAGGCAAAATTTGACGTGGTTGTGGGGGTCGACAAAAACATGCACGCCTACAACACATGGAAAGTGAGTCGGATCTTTCTGCGGCGTCCTTGAAACGTATACTTAAGATGGGCTGCTATCATACCAGATAAACCACCCTCAGGCAGATGTGCATTTCGCGACTGTGGAAACGTTTCTCTCAGAACTAAACAGAACCAATATAACATGCCCTGATCTTACAGTGGCCTTGTTATCACCCCCTTGCCAGGGCTTTTCCGCAGCCAATCCCGGTGGCAAAGATGACAATGTCAACCGTAAAGCGCTATCAATTTCAACACGCATCTTGACTGCCACCAATGCATATTACGGGTTGATTGAGAATGTTCCTGGGTGTGTATAATAACCCAATGAAACATCAGCAACTGACGGCGATGACGGTATCAGGCTTTCTTTCCCCTTGCATCTGCACCATCTGCACGAGGTCATGATCAATTGTATGAAGGCAGGATATCAAAGTCGCTGGGCGATCCTTAACGTAAAGGAGTATGGCGTTCCTACCATTCGCAAACGGCTATTTCTGGTTGTCGCCAAACTAGGACTTACTATGCCTGCTTTCCCTAAGTCTACGATATCTGAAACAGGACCAGTAACTCTACGTGATGCGATAGAGGACCTCGATATTTCTAACCCCCGAGAAGACGCTAATTCGGGAAATCCTGTTTTTATGTGGACTCGAGAAATGCTTACACCATATGCGGTGTCGATGAATGCTTCCGACAAGATAGAACATCATGCTATTTCCACCGCGTCTATAGCAGGTTGGCCTGTTGCGAAGTGGGACGAGCCAGCATGTACAATTCGCACATCATGTAGCAATCGTTGGGCATGTGTGCACCCAGGTAAGTGAATTGTTTTAGAATACTAACACTCGCTGACCTGAAATTTTTCGAACAAGGAGGAGAAAGATTGTTGTCTCCGCGGGAATGCGCGAGGATAATGTCCTTCCCGGGTACGTCTTTTGACACTCTGATTAGTACAGTATACGTAGCGGGCTGATTTGCAACTCAAGATACATACTTTATATCTGGTTCAGTGACGGATCAATACAGGCAAATTGGTAACGCTGTATGTATCCGCCGTCATATAATTTATCATTCTGATCACACTCGTAGGTTGCACCTAAAATGGCGCAAGCTCTTGGAGAGGCTTTCATGGAGGCCATTCTAGCGGATTTTCCTTCGCTTGATACCGCTAAAAGACCTAGACAGGCTGCATCGCGGATCGGCGCCGGTTCCTCCACAATTCTAGGCAAACACTCTCGTGAAGACGAAAACTCCAAAAACGGTATGGGTCATAAAAGGTGCCGCAAGTAATAGACGGTGTGATACTATTCGACTGCTCGGCTATTGTCAGCTACTAGTGTGTAATAATGATAATCGAGATGTGTTTAGAGCGTTCAGTCAACTACGGGACAGTAAATCAACAGCCCTTGTTCTTGCAAAACAAGATACCGTTCCTCCGCACCCGGTTCATCAAATTCAAAATCTTCCGGTAAATGAATCCGTCTCAAATTCAAAAACGACTCCTCGTCCTCCCCGCCATTTTTCCACCGTGACTCGATCATGTCAAGAAGGGCGGCCTGAGATACCGTAAAGGAGGCCTGGTGGAAGTCGAGGTGTCTGAGGGTTGGGAAGTGGTTATGACCGTTGACATCATCGGCGGTGAGCTTCTTTATAACATCTTTCCCGATGTTTTTCAACGCTAACCCAATGGCCACGACGTCGGAAGCTTGAGTCAAGAAATTGAGGATACGGGAATTGTTTTCAGGGATTGAGAGGTCATAGTCTGGGAATCCTAAGGAGACGTTGTCAAGCTCGCGGCCTGGATAAGACAGAGATGTCGGCAAATCGAGTAGCATGCCTTTCAACCCTGGCTCGATGTTCGCACCAAATGCGAGCGAGTCCAGAGAGGGAAGATCCAGCATGTCAAACACTCCTGCCAACGTGTTCACTCCGTGCGCCGCCCCTTTTCTCTTCAAAGACAGATACTCGACTTTGGGTAGAGTAATGCGCTGCGATACGTTCAACTTCCGCGGTCCTGAAGGGAAAACCATTCGGAGACTCCTAAGTCTTTTGAGTTCCTTGAAAAGATTGAAATTCATATCGGCGTAGATATCGATAGAGAGGTACGTCAGTTGCGACCAGGCAAGACGAAGGCGATGGCTACGGAGATCCACGTGTTCACCAATGTGCAGCCGCCAAAGGTTAGAGGCCATCTGGAACATTTCGAGGCTTTCCCGCTGTGAACTGGTAGGAAATGTGCCGCCGTCAATGCACGCCTCTTCGAGATTTTCTAGAAATGCTTTGCATTGAGCAAGTTGGTGGCAAGTTGTGGGGGGAACACGTATGTGCAAGTGTTTCCATTGCGACATGCTCGAGAGGATGATCGGAAAGGCATTGTGCGTGTGTATGTCAACCATACTCTCGATTCGGATCGAAAGGGGAGACCTGCGAGCCCGCTGGATATGTAACCCAAGCTGGAGGGCCACGCACGCAGGGCGGTCCCTCTGCCTGTAATATACGTTGAAATCGAGGGAAATGCAGTTCCACAGCGACGGCATGGACAAGGCTACGCTTCTCCAGTTCCGACAAACATGTGTCAGCACCCACGGCCCACATCTTGGGTCGAGAGAATCGTGGAAAGCGAGTCGCCTCCCCGCATCGACCAGATCCTCCCAAGTCAACGTATTATGTAGAAATATTTCGCGAAGAATGTCGTCGGGTATGGTTCGCATAGGGTGAAGCACGATTTTGGCATGTCGAAGGTCTTCCGCAGCCTGAGCTCGTTCGCCCTTAAGAGCATGAAGTAACTGATGAGTCTGTGCGATTCTTTCGTCCAAATCCGATACAATGAGGGGGAGATCTTCCTTCGCCTTACGAAAGGTTGCTTTCTCTGCTTCGAGTGGGGGAGCGTTGGTCTTAAGAAGTGCTTCGAGACGCGGATCCGGCGGTTCCCGTTTAATCTGAGGGTAAGATGATAGAAAGCCACATTTAAGGCACAACGACTTCGGCGGTGTAGATGGTGGACTCGGTTTCGCCATCGTATGGTAATCTAGGGTGTGTTGGTACTCGTCAGATACGGTAAAGTCATCGCATTGGAGACCCAACCTGAGAATGATTCTGCACTTCAGTCGATGCGGATACGAGAATGGGAGTAAGGGCAATGCGACAATGTCTACGAGTGGCAATGAGCGACCGGGCCATTATTAATGCAATCCAATTGTGAACTCGTACCAAGGTGTAGAGAACCAGCTGTAAAACTTGACTTGAGATGAGAGTTTGGAGTAGCAGGAGGAGGAAAGGAGGAAGTAACGGGCCCTCTAGATATACGATAGTTAAGGTGGTGTTTCAGGTATAAGGAACCAGAAGGGGTGCCGCCGACTGAAGTTGAACTTGACAAAAGAGTAGAACAATAGCCATTTGACTGATCCGCGATCTCGTGGTCGATTTTCCTGCCGGCCTCGGAGGTCCGACTCAGCGTAGACATTGGACAATGGTCCCAACACATTATGGACAAGGCAATCGCTATTGTTTTAGAGGCGGGATTTGAGTTGTACTTCTCCTGTCTCTAGCCGGGATCCTGGACATCGAATCAGCTTGGATATAGTACTGAGACCATGATCGCCTACAGGTCCTCCCTAGAATTCCAGCACAAATGGTCGAGATTGTGATGCATAGATGATTCCGGCGGTGTGTATCGTAGGCACTTCTTTACGATGGATGTTTCCGGTGCAAGAGCATACTTCTTGCTCGCCCTGTTACGTACGTCATCTCTTGTGAAGCCCATTTCGGTGACCACCAAGTAGTGAGAGCCAACGTTACGGAACAGGGCTCGGGATCATGAAAAGCACGACTCTGACAGCGAGACGATTCCAACTAAAATGTCGAAGTAAGCAATAGAGTACACAACTGAGGTGAATAGCCAGGCATCTTGGCAAATTCATCGAATTGCCAAAAATCAATGCTCCCGCTCAAATAGAAGAAAAAGATTCTGATTTGGTAAAGGGTTTGTCAGAAAGAGGTTCGTGAAAATACGAGATGGAAGAGATGAGGTACAGCCGGAACGTTCCGGAATGAACCCGGAATATCTTTAGTCCGCCCTCTTCTCAGAACACGTCGTCGATCGATCCTGGATTAATCCTCCAGCTTGACCAGCATCATCCATGGCAGCGCTGGCTCAAGCATTTGCGTACGCATTGCGTCCATTCGCCGATGCTCTTACTTTCTTGACAACCACTCAAGTTCATCCTACCTTGTTTCCTTATCCATGGGCTTCTACTCTCCACGCAACTCGGGTCTCCATGGCTTATCAAAACAATATGAGAAAATCAGGAAGCAAGCTTTCCTGGGGAACTTACATTGTGGGATATCTTATAATGGTGAATCCAAGAGAGTAATGCTGTAAACATATTATATTGACTAACTGGCTTCCTTCCTAGTGCTGGGGAGGAATGGTCCTTTCGCACACTCTGCTATCCCTTCCGCCGCCAATCCTATTCTCGATCCACCCATACATAAACTACATCGCTCCTCACCTTGTTGTGACCCTGCTCTTCACCATCTTCCCTAACATCCTCACCAGTCCAAACCTTGATCTCGTGTTATTTCCCCTCGACGGTCTCCTCCGAGCCAACGCCGTAACAAGTACACTTGCCATGATCTCATCCAACCCCGCCATAGACAGCAAGCTAACTTCATCTGCACTATTCCATATTATCATTGGTGCGGTCGTTTCCTGTGGAGGCGGCGCATCAGCCGCTACTCTCAAGACGTGGACGTCAGAATGGAGTTTTGGGACTCCCGTGTTTTTACGGAGCGGTGTAGGATTTTGGGGATCGTTGGACGTGTGGGCTGGTTCTCTGGTGGCTATTGTGTATAGCACAATGACGATTCATCCGGCTTTTGATGAGGTCGTGCCTTTCGAAGTGAGGCCGGCTTTCGCGCTGAGCTCACTAGGGGCAAAGGCCGTTAGCAGCTATATCTATACGATACTCTTCGGGTTGAGAGTGTGGAAGGCTAAGTTGACCCCCGCGTCAGTGGTAAAGAAGGGAAAGGGAAAGACCAAAACTCAGTAGACCGAAAGGCCGTATTTTCTCGACCTTTTCAATGTACATAGTAGTCACCAATTATTGTGTACTGTATGATGCATATAGAAGAAGATACTTCATATGTGTCGCTGACCCTGCACTCTTCGTACATGCTTTACATCCCTGAGATACTCGCTGTGGTTAACTCGAAAAGGGTAGAAGAAAACGAAAACACTCCCTACTGCATAAGTCAAAACTACCGCAGTGATACATCGCGTATAGGATTGTCGGTAAAGTGCAGGTAAATATGAAAAGGTATTGAAGTTCAACCCAAACACAGCAATCACCGCTGTTCATGACAGTTAAGACTATCCTACATATATGAATGACATAGATAGAATTGGACATTGAATAAAATATGCAAATCCAGCATTCAATCATCAAGATCAACCATCACAACATCCTCAGTGCCAGCGTTCCCAGCTCGCTCCGTAGTCAAAGGCAGCTCCTTCTCTCCAACCGGCACTATAACATTAGAGCGTACCCTCAGTCCAGGTCGCGGCGCCAAATTAAATTCCCGCTTCGATGACTGCATAGTTGCCAGCACGTCAAGCTATAGAGAAACATCAACGACGCCGAAGCAATGTTAATTTAAGCACTAACGAACCTTCTGTCTCAAATGAGGATCCTCCCGCAGTTGACCTATCCTCGCTGCGGGATTGAACCCCAGCTGCTTGACCATCTCGGCGCTATAATGGCTCTTCGGGGTACTCTCCTTCGTCCTCAGTTCGTCCTTGGGAGCCTCTTCCTTGTCTCTCCGTTTCCTCTTCTTCCCATCTTCCTTCCCTTTCTTATCCTCCTTTTGAGCAAACTCCCTAGCTGCAACTACCGCTTTCATCCCCTCCTTATCTCGGTCCAAAAGGGTTTTGAGAGCCTTATCCGCGTCTTTGGCGCGTAGCCGTTGAGCTTTGGCTTGCCCTTCTCTGCCAATGTTTTCCGAAACCTCTAACGAGCTCGGACCAGAGCCTTTGACGACATGTCCTGAGACTACGTAGGTCGCTGATCCCTCCGCGTCCTCCGGCTTCAGGCCCCATTGCCGCGCAGGATCGTAAGCAGGTTTGCGTTTCTTGATTGCGGTGTTTGACATGCCAGATGTTCTGGCGAGGAAATCAGAGTGAATCATTTCTCAGAGGCTATGCTACTTACGAAGCGGAGAATTCAGGACGTGCAGCGCGACGACGTTCGACAGCATTCTGAACATGCCATTCACAGACATCGCTCACGCGTTTGTCACACCATGAACCACACACTGACCCGTCGCGCTTGAGG